CTCAGGAGAAAAACAAATTGCAACACCGAAGCACCCCTTCATTTGCATGTAAAATAAGAAGCAGACTGAAAAGAACCCCAAAGACAAGGGATTTTTTAGATGACAATGTATTCTTTACCTCAACTGCGGTGTGTACATGTGCACATCCGACGGACGGTGGGTGCAGGGCACCGAATCTGTGTATTCTTTACCTCAACTGCGGTGTGTACATGTGCACATCCGACGGAAGGCGGGTGCAGGGCACCGAATCTGTGTATTCTTTACCTCAACTGCGGTGTGTACATGTGCACATCCGACGGAAGGTGGGTGTAGGGCACAGAATCAGTGGAAAGCAGGTGAAAAAATACAGCAGCTGCGCCGGACATTGATGAAAGTCAACTAAGCATCCAAGGGTGGTGACGGGAGGGAGGGAATGAGAGGGAAAGAGGGAAAGCTGACTAGTACTAAGCAAAAGGAAAGAAATGTACACATTACCTGATTTGGGTTTTTTTTTAAGTTTTATTGTTAAAGGCCATAGTGTTCATAAACAATGTAGATTAAGATAATAATGGCTAACAATGTGAAGATTAAAAGGTGTTTGTGACTTTAAATAAATTTTTAAAAAGTTCTATCCCCTGAGCTTCGCAAGATCTTTTCTTACAGAGTCCCGGTGTCTCTCCTCACTGTAGCAGCTTTGCCCAACTTGAATTGGAACCCGAAGTTGCTAGCTTGACAGCCAGCAGTATGAGTGGTGTTTGGGGGACAAGCGCCCAATGGGATTCAAACCTCAGGAAATCAGGAGAGAAGGAGAGGGAGGGGGGAAGAGAGAGAAGAGAAAAGAGGAGAGGGGAGGGAAAGGGTGAGTAGGGGATGGAAGGGGAGGGGAAGGAAGGGGAGGGGAAGGGAAACAAAGGTGGAGGCAACAATGCTTGATAAGAAATGTACTCATTATCTTGCCCATGTAATTGTAACCCCTCTGTACAGTATTTTCACAATTAAAAAATAAATAAATATAAAAAAGAACTCCAAACGACCTTGCAGGAAGCCAACCTGGTGTGGAGGGTGAGCAGTTGCTTGGAGACTCCTCAGGAAACACTCGCCCTGCCCAGCTGTGCCAACAGGGCTGTGTCTCCTCGTGGAAGTTGACACATGGTGGTGGAGACCTGAAAATAGGATTCTTAAGAAACTGGGGCTGTAAATGTGTCATCCCAGACACCTCTGTGGGGCGAGGAGGTGGCAGGTCCTGGTTGTCAAAAGCATTTTGCACACCTAGCAGGTGAAGAGAACTTTCTGGGTCCCCTAGATCCAGAAGCGGTGGTGGGCACAGGGTTTCCAGTCCCCCAGAGGGGCGAGGCTGCCCTATGTGCCCTGCTTCCCGCCAGCCACCCCTGTGCCTTGAGAGCCACATGTGGCTATTGTTCCCAAAATGGGCCTAGGGTGGTGCCTGACACATCCCTCAAACCCAGGAGTGACTGATCTCACAGCCAACCAGAGCACAGCAAGCGCTGGGCAACTGAACTGCACACAGGTCCCATCCTGGGCAGCTGACCACTCAAACATCAATCCTTGCTCTGTACCCCGGGACTGTTGTCAGGATTAACTGTAGGGCTTTGCACCACTGCCCAGGCCCTGCTCCCAGGGGCGTGCTCCACAGGGCTCCGCAAGGTGGGGATTGCACGCGTATGCACACTCACTTTGCTCTTGTACATCTGAACATACAATTCGTGACGGCACATCTGATCATAGAACTTGTGGCGGCAGGCCATCAGCTGGACCCCAACTTGAGACTGTCAGTGGTCATGGCCACTCTTTACGTCACCACTGGGCTACAACACGTGCTCCCTCATCTCAATCATGCCATCCTAAGCTGTGACCAAGGTGAATCAGGGCTGCACAGCTAAGAAGGGGCGGAATTCACATCAGACAGAGTTCCCGAGTAAGTACTCTGTATCACTGCCCTGTGCTTCCTCACTACATTTGGTGCATTTAGCAAGTACTCCTATTCTCACTCTCCACCAACTATTCTAAACACTTCAACTAGCAATCCATACCATCTTCTTGAAAATGCCCTGAGTTGGCTACTGTTACCAAAGCCAATGGTACAGTCAGACACTACTGAGAGGCAGAAATGTTAAGTAACTTCCCAGAAGTCATGCAGCCTTTGTGATTCCAAAGCCACCTTTCTTAGGCTTGTGAGCAACATTAATGTTAGGATCTATGGTGTTAAGAGCGGTCACTACAAACGAGGAGCCGTGCATTGGGCAAAGGTTGAGGCACCAAGAAGACGCAGAGAGCCAGCTCTGCCTCGGCTTAAGCTCGGACGTCCATGGGAGCCTGTGCACATCTGTCGTTTGTCTGTGGGTAAAGACTGCTGGGCATCAGAAGCATGCCAGGACTGGGCGGGGGCCCCAGCCAGTGAGGCTGAGCCAGAGCGCAGTCCCGATCGCCCTCACCAGGGCCACCGCCAATCCGCTGGCTGAATTCTAAAGGTTAATTGCTCTGAGCAGCCCTGTGGCATTTGATCTTGGTGCCAAATAAAACTGGGACAATATTGACCAAGATTGGACCAGCATCAGAATGCAAACACAAATGAAAATCTAGCTCCTCGGGCAGGAAGAGCCCGAGCGAAACTCTTGACACCCCTAAGGGCTCAGCCAAGGGGATGCAATCCCCCCAGGACCCCAAACTGGGGCCTTTCCCAGGTGGCCCTGTGTGACAGCACTCTCCACCCAGCCAGACTCAGGCTTTCTCCTGCCCAAGGCCCCATTCTTAGTCAACTCTTGGTTTATAAGATGCTTCCCTAGGGAAGCCTTTCTGAGCCAGGCACTGGTAGCTCACACCTATAATCCTAGCAACTCAGGAGGCTGAAATCTGAAGACCATGGTTCAAAGCCAGCCTGAGCAGGAAAGTCTGTGAGACTCTTATCTCCAATGACCCACTGGAAAACCAGAAGTGGAGCTGTGGTTCAAGTGGCAGAGCACTAGCCTTGAGCAAAAAGAAGCTCAGGGACAGAGTCCAGGCCCTGAGTTCAAGCTCCAGGACTGACACAACAACAACCAAAAAAAAAAAAAAAAAAAAAGCCTTTCTGTCCACTATAGATTGAGTGAGACAGACTGTCTCCCCAGCCTCATTCTCCCTTGATTTACTGCTCTTTAAACTTTTACACACACACACACACACACACACACACACACACACACACACACCTTTCTAAATCCTGTTGGTTCATAAGCCAGACAGGAACTCTTTTTATCTTGTTTCCTTTTGTAATCTTAGTTCTCAGGGCCTGGCACCTAGGTGAGCATTGAAGAAATGCTGGAAGAAAAGGGTGGGTGCGGGAGCAGGCTGGTAGGAGGGCAGGTGGGTGACTACTGGGTGGATGGATACATCTCTGGCTTGCACTGGGGAAAGACATCGGTCTCCAGTGTACTTCTGATACACGGCAGGATTATAAAACACAGGAAATACCCAGCAGTGAGTGGGCACAGACAAGGAAAAGCGGGGCTGGGCTCACTGACTCTGTGGAGCAGGGTGACATCTTACTACAGCGGTGCCTGATGCCAGGCCCACTGTGACCACGCCACCGTCCAGGTGACTCCCACAGCTGACACCAGCTCAGAGGACAGGAGCCAGCGATCTCCATGGCAGAGGACAATGCACGCAGGGGTAGCTGGGGACTGGCCTGGAAAAGGATGCTGGGAGATTTCCAGTGCCTTCCCCACTGGGCGACCAGCGCCCTCCAGACTCCCAGATCGCAGCTGATAACAGCGCTGACCAGTGGGAACTCCGTCAATATTGGCAGAGGGGTGGAGCTCACAAGGCAGATGATTAGGAGGAGACCCAAGTATGGGGTGTGGCTGTGAACACCTCCGGTCGTAGGCCCCGTGTCTGTACGTGGGCACACCAGACCACCCTCCCTGCTACCTCCACCCAGGTCCCGGGGTTCCTCACCATCCTGGAATTCATTCAGCTGAGCTTGGGCTGTGCATAAGTCTGATGGGAGCAAGGGAGTTAGTGACATTCCTTCCCACAGAACACACGAGGCCCCCAGCACACGGTGCCAGGGGTCGTCCACAGAGGCGGCTGAGCAGGATGAAAGCAAGGGACACTCACCTGTTTCCATGCTGGCCAAGTGCTCGTGACGGAGGCTTGGCGTGTTGTTGCCCGAAGCCACCGTAATTACGGGTTTGCATTCCTCTGGAGGATCCCTCAGAGCGTGGAGCACTGGGACTCACCTTGCTCTTCTCTTGCATTGGCTGTTAGGAAGCTCAGAGTCAAATCTGTGACGCTTGTAGTAGCAAGGCTGGAAATCAACACACATTTAGTTTCCATCCTGTTCTCGACCGTTCCCGCCCCCCATTCCTCGGGTTCCCTCTCTTCTTTCGCCATAGTTTAACCCGTGTTTAAACTGCACTGTACATGCTCGTATAAGATGCTTTAACCAATATCGTTGCTGGGATTAAAAGGAACTCAGTGGCCTGTCTGAACTTTAGGCCTGTAGGAAGATGGAGTTTGGTCCCCGGGGCAGTAGGCCACAGGAGTAGGGCCACTCACACTGGGTGACACAGTGGTTAGATATTATCTCCTTGGAACCAGGTGCCCAGATATGGCGGTGCTGGGCTAGTCTGCATGGAATGGAGGTGAAAGGGAGGCAGGCTGGTCTCACCGAATGCGTTCTCCCTGCTCTGATGGCGACTGCGGGAACAAGGGAAGGGACCGAGGTCCCAGGTGCACCTGGCTGCCTCAGGCCTCCTTGGGAGGGTGAGGGGCTCCAGCCAGAATGCCTGGGGCGTCGGGAGGCGGGGATGTGAGGGAATTCAGGGGTTCTGTTTTATGGGGAGGCCAGCGCAGCTGACTCCAGGAAGACTTGGCCTCCACCGGGCTGGCCAGGGAGGGGGCTGGCTCCACCCAGGCTGTTTGCCCTGCTGTGTGTATTCAGCGCTCCTGGACAAGGAAGCACAGGCAGGAGCTGGGCTCAGCTCACAGCCCAGCACTGGCCACAGCAGCTGCAGTCACAGGACTCAGAGCAGGAGCAGCTCCAGGGACGCCGGGGCGCCGAAGACACGCCACCAGGTAACTGCTTCCAGACTGTCCAGGCTCGGCTGGAGGGGCTGGGGAGGAAGGGGTTGGAATAGAGAGGCAGGGGCCAGAGTTCAGCTTGACTCCAGCTCTGACACTTACCCACTGTGGCCTTGAGTTGGGGGGCGGGCCTCAGTTTCACTGTCTCAAAGATGGCACTTCCCAGAAGTCTCAGTTTCCCCGGGAGTACTCATCGGACAGGGCTGGGTACAGAGTCAGAGAACCAGACATGACCCGCTCCTACCAGCCTGGAACCGCGGAGCCTTGTTGCAGGTGTTAGGGGGGGAGGAGAACTAATAGTGAAGGTGAGGAGCCTGTGGTCATCCATCCTGTAGCCAGGCAGACTCTGAGTGGGTCCCTAAAGTGCGGGGTGGGGGGACAGGGAAGAGGACTGGATCCTCCCATCCAAGAGGCAGGGACTGGGTTCAGATCTCAGCTGCTCGGCCTCAGAAACACCACCCTGGGAGAAGGTGGGGACTCAGGAGCCAGAGCACAAGTCCCTCCTCTCTCAGCCCCCTCCCCAGCTGCAGCCCCCACCCCTTCCGCCGACTCCTTCACCCCCTGGGCCTCCGTGAGCCCAGTAACAGCACTGAAACCAAAGGACTCAGAGGACGTTCTCGAATGAGCCCTCGGTGCTGTCACTTCAGCGGTGGCTTCCTCCTTGTCATCATCCTATCAAGTTCACAATCAAGAATGAGGCTGGGTAGGGGAGGCAGAGAGCTGGTTCCGGTTTCTAGAAGGAGGCTATGGGATCCAGGCAGGATGGGAAAAAGGGGGGCAAAGTCCCCCCAAATGAAAGGCTGTCCTTCAGCTCTTCAGCTCAAGGCTAGCGCTCTACCACTTGAGCCACAGCGCCACTTCTGGCTTTTTTCTTTTTGCTTATGTGGTGCTGAGGAATCGAACCCAGGGCCTTGAGCAAGCAAGGCTAACGCTCTACCACTGAGCCACCTTCCCAGCCCCGTCAAGTTCTATTTTAAGGCAGATTTCTAAATGAGAAAGTAAGGGTAAGACATGGCTTGCGAGCCATGTGCTGATGACTCACCCCTGTAATCCCAGCCATTCAGGAGGCTGAGATCTGGAGGATTGAATTTCTAAGCCAGCCCAGGCAGCAAAGTCTGTGACCTTCCCATCTTCCAAATAAATAACCAGCTGGGCTGGAGGTGTGGCCCAAACAGTACCAGCCGAGCAAGGCAGCCGGCTAAGCAAGTGAAGGCCTGAAGTTCAAACCCCAGCAACAGCTCAACACAAGAGACAAATGCCAATCCCTGCAGTAAAAAGAAGACTAACCGCAGAGTTAAGGTTGATCTCATCTTAGCCCGGGTCCTGCAGCAGCACATAGCTCTTCCTACATAAAAGCCAGGAGAGGGTCGGCTCCCACCGTTTAAGTGGGAGAAGCAGGACAAACCAATGTCCTATGTCGCAGCGGATTCTGTCTGGCGAAGAGTGCTCAGCCCCTGGGGAGCAGGTTTGACGGACACATTGTTTCTTTATTCTTTGGAGCCTGGGTCTCTCTGTGTGGCACAGGCTGGCTTCAAACTCCTGATCCTCTTTCCTCTGCTTCCTCAGTGCTAGCGTTACCACCATGCCCAGCCTCCAGAGAATATTCTTTTGAGAAAAGGGAAATGTGTGTTAGGAAGCAGTGGTTCTAAAAGACCCTCTGTCCCAGCTAGTCAAGGATAACGGCTACCCAGGGAGACCGGACCCCAGGAAGGGAGGATGAGACTCTTAGCTCCTGCTGTGTTTGATTTGAGTCTTCTGAGTCCCTCAATTTTGGCGAAGGGAATGGCACAGAATGGGTACCCATTAAGTACGTAAGATCAGTGCTGAATCCCAGGGACCTGGGTTCAAATCCGAGCTCCATCTCCTCACGGTTTGACTGCTGCTTTTCAAATAATTCCATCTAGAAATGGGGAGTAAGGAAAACAAGGTACACCCTCATGGGATCAGGGGAGGGGAGACACGGCCCACCAGAGCCTCAGGTTCCTCTGTGGAATCGGGGATCGGGGGCTTCGGGACAGCGGAGGATGATACAAGCAGCAGCTAAGGCCAGGGCAGGATGAAGGTAGACAGGGGCAAAGCACCCGTGTCCCGCCTCACACTGTACCTGGCCTGCCCCCTGAGGGAGGACTCCGTGCCCACCCCTGCCCCACAGGTGCAGAGGAAACACCATTTCCTGTGACCTGCTCATAGCTGTGTGATGCAGGCCTCGGACTAAGAGAGCGAGCTGCGCATCTGCTTAGGCAACAATGACATACACATCACCAAGACACAGTGCCAGCCTTTCCCCTGGGACTCCTGGAGTCCCATCCCGGGGCCCAGGGGGTGAGCAGCACCGTGAGGGGCAGCATTTCTGTCCCGGGCACTCCGGGTGCCATCAGCAGCCTGCTCTTCTGTGCCTGGCGCCCCGAGGCTGACAGGGAGCTGGATGGGGACAGGGCCCACAGAGCGAGTCCGTCGTCATCCACATGCGATGTGTCCTCCAGGGCTGGAGCAGGGGGCTGGCTGTGCCTGGGTGCCCACATCGCCCTGGTGGCTTTGCCCTCGGCTGGGTGGTGCACAGGCTCATCATCTGTCCACAGTCCGATGCATTGATCGAAGGTGTTTCTGTTGACTCGGTGACTCATTCTGTCACCATCCTGCCCTTCCTTGGCCTGTCCCTTCCACCCGGCAGTCACTTGGCTGCCTGCTGGCAGAGAAGTTTAGTCTCCACACTGTGTGCTCAGGCTCTCAGAGGAGGGCCCGCTGTTACCTGTCAACTGGTGTCAAAGAGACAGTTGCTAGGGCAACAGCCAGACTGACACGCTCACACACCAATCAGAGGATAGAGCTCATGAGACCACACATTCCTAAGAGAAATAAATAGTGTTGGGAATAACTAGCATTATTCACCGGCTCACACCATGCCTTTGAGTGAGTGCAATTATCAGTGGCCGATTTTTCATCTCGACCCTAGACCACACGATGCTCCTGTAATTTTAATTTCTTGTGGTAAGACAGGCATGCAATTGATATCTTATATTCTATGTGCTCTTGGGTTCCATGCAAATACCAAAGAAAATTGTGGCATGATTTATACAGCAGAACAGAGGGTGAAAAATCAATACACAGAATGAGTGTTGATCTGCTCAGACTGCAATAGCAAAACTGTAACAGAGGAGGGAGGGGAAGGGACTTAAATCTTTACCACTAGGTAACAGTGTGTTTAATGCCAAATAAGATTTTGAAAGCAAAACTAATGCCAGCCAGGCACCAGTGGCTCACACTAAATACTAAATACTAAATAAATACTCAGTAGGCTGAGACGTAAGGATAATGATTCAAAGTCAGTCCTAACAGGAAAGTCTGTGAGACTCTTATCTCCAATTAACTACCAAAAAGCCAGAAGTACATCTGTGGCTTGAGTGGTAGATCACTAGCCTTAAGTGAAAAAATTCAGAGACAGCACCCAGATCCTAAATTCAAGTCCTAGGTCTCTCTCTCTTCTCTCTCTCTCTCCCTCCCTCCCTCCCTCCATTAATTTAGGAAAAGGAGACTAAAATAAAGGCTGGCAATTTTCTTTTTGCCTTTCATTTTGTAATGCAGGGTTTGAATTTAGGACTTCACACTTATTAGGCAGGTGCTCTACCACTTAAATCACACCACCCATCCTTTTCATTTTCTTCCATTTTTTCCCATTAGTGTCTTGCTTTCATCCGGGTTGGCGAGGACTATGAGTCTCCGGTGTGTGCGTCCCTCCACAGCCTGGATGACAAACATATACTACTGCACCTACTGATTTGTTTTTAACTTAGTGGTACCAGGGTTTGAACTCAGGACCTTGCACTTGCTTGGCTTATTTGCGTGGTTGCCACTCTACCACATGAACCATGCCTCCATCCTTGCTTTTTGCTGACAAGTTTAGCGATGGAGTCCCTCAGACTTTTCTGCTCAGACTGTCTTTGGGCCATGATCTTCCAATCTCAGCTTTCTGAGTAGCTAGAATTATAGACGCAAGCCAGCAATGCCCAACTTGTACCCAGCTTTTTATTGGTTGAGAAGGGATCTTGTATACTTTTTACCTAAGCTAGCCTCGAACCATGATTTTCCTGATCTTGTGTGAGCCACCACATTCAACCACAAAAATTAGTTTTTTTCTCAATTAAACAAGGTTATCTTGAAAAATTACCTTATCCGCAGATTGGAGGTGGGCTGCTGCGTTGAGCTCTCCAGGCCTATCAGCCGAGGTTTGCCCTTATTGCTTTATTGGTTGCAGTATGTTGTGGGCCTTGGAAGATGTGCCAGTCTCTTTCAAGTGTCAGCTGAGGTTTAATTGCCAATCATCAAAACGCCCCTTTCAACCTGCCCAGTCATTTCAACACAGCTGGCATACCCAAAGAAATCATCTATGTTGTAGTTACACCTGTCTACCAAGAGGTGGCAGTAATCCCTTGCTTTTGTTCCATAGAAATCCTGCTCTTTAAAAAAAAATATATTGTTGAATGGACAGGAGGGATTTCACAAGTACTGCATAATTGTTGGTGAAAGTGGCGTGACCTGATTCTAAGTAACATCTGCAAAGGACAGACTGGATTCCCCATCTTTCGGTCCCCTCCGTCCTGTTTCTGAGAAGCTACCTTAAGTGTTTGATAATAGAAATTGAGAACCTTTATAAACACAGTCAAGTGCTGGTAACTTGTGCCTATAATCCTAGCATTTCAAAAGCCTGAGATCTGAGGATCACAGTGTGACGCCAGCCCTGGCAGACAGTCACTAATCTCCAATTAACCAGCAAAATGCCAGAAGTGAAGAAATAGCTCAAGTGGTACAGCACAAGAAGAAAACAAGCAAGAGCACCAGGCCCTGAGTTCCAGCCCCAGTACCAGCACACACACCACAAAATAAAAATAACAAACTGTTCATTGAATGATGATAAATATTTTCTACCAGCCACGATATGCAGCTGAAAATTAGGCTACCTTGACCTTATATGGCAGGGAGGGCCTAAGAGTACTCAACTACCTTCCCTATAACCAATCTAAGCAATGTGCTCTAACCTGGATATGGGGACGGGGGGGCGGGGGCTGTGCACTGTAGCTTCCACTGTGACTGTGACACTTTGGTTTGGGTTGTGTTTTTATTTCTTTCCCTCCTTGTCTCTATTACAGGAACGATGGGTAACCAAATGAGTGTGCCACAAAGAGTTGAAGAGCAGGAGAATGAATCAGAAGCCGACACTCACATTCACAAGGTAGAGGAGATGGAGTCACTGGGACGTTGCTAATGGGTAGAGCCAGAGGAAGAGAGGTCAGGGTCTGCTCACCGCTCACACAGAGGAAGGGGTGGGGGTGGGGGCTGATGTCACTATGGCTTGATAAAACAGTTGGACCCAACCATTTGCCGGTGGCTCACGCCTGTAATCGTGGCTCATGCCTGTAATCCTAGCTACTCAGGAGGCTGACATCTGAGGATTGCAGTGTTCAAAGCCAGCCAAGGCAGGAAAGACCCTTATTTCCAATTAACTACCCAAAAAAGCTGGAGGTAGGCTTAAGTGGTAGAGCACTAGCCTTGAGCAAAAAGAGCTCAGGAACAGCGCACGGGCCCTGAGTTCAAGCCCCAGGACCAGCACCAAAAACAAAAACAAAAACAAGACCTCTGACATCACCTAAGGAGCTAACTAAAAACGCAGGCCTGAGGCTGGCCTGGCCCGAAAGCAGACATTGCAGAGATAGTCTCCAGAAGTCATCCCCAGAAGATGATCTGAAGCCTGCCCTCAGGAGTGATCTGGTGGTAGATTTCACCCATCGCCGCTCCTGAGGGTGTGTGGAGTGGGCGCAGGGGAGCCAGCTCTGACATGGAGTGCACAGACGCCAGGGCTGCTTCTGAACACACAGGAGGCCCCTGTGGGAAAAGACTTCACTGCCCCAAATGTCCATTGTGTCAAGAATGAGAACCCCAGGTTCTCATCAGTGACTGGAGATCTCAGCTGACATGGGGGACCCCTAGGAACCTCCACCCCATGGGGCCTGAGCTGCCCTGTAGACCAATGAAACTCCATCTGTGGGGAAGCGAGGGCAGATGCTCACGTCCTGGCTGGTAGAACGCACAGTCTGGCTGAAGGAAGACTACCCTCGGAGCAAGGCCATGGCTCAGGGTGTGGCCATGGCAGAGCACAAGGCCCTGGGTTCTGTCCCCAGAAGAACAGAGGCCAAAGCCACACAGACACCTCTTGGAGCTCCTACATCCAGAAAACAGAAACCAGGTCCGCCACCATCCACTCAGCTGAAGACATGGACGAGTGCAGACATGGAAATCCTGCAGAAGGAGGGTGCAGGGGCTGGTGCGGGTCACTCAGCAGAGGACCCTGCTCAGGAGAGAAGGCTGGAATTGCAGAACTCCAATGCAAAGGCCTGCACGGTGGACCTCAACTCTGACTGCAAGCTATCCTTTCCTGGATGCTTTGCTGCTGCTAAGTCCACCTGAGACCAACAGATAGCACAGCCTGTGGCCAAGAGCAAGGTCCCCAGATAACCCCCAGAGCAGCCCCCAGGAGCCAGGCAGAAAGAGGCAGAGTGTACCAGGAGGCTCTGCCATGGAGAAATGGAGGCCCAGGGCTGCCTGACCGGCACTGGCAGCAGCCAACAAACACGTCTCGTTTGTCACTTGGAATTGGAAACAGCATTCATAAAATCGCTCTATTTTCAAACATTGTCTAGTTCTAAAAGGAAAAGAAGCTGGGTGCCGGTGGCTCATACCTGTAATCCTAGCTACTCAGGAGGCTGAAATCTGAGGATTGCAGTTCAAAGCCAGCCCGGGACAGTAAAGTCCATGAGACTCTTATCCCCAGTGAACCACCAGAAAACTGGAAATGAGGCTGTGGATCAAGTGGTAGAGTGCTCATCTTGAGCTAAAGAGCTGAGGGACAGTGCCCAGGGCCAGAGTTCAAGACCCACAACTGACAATAATAATAATAATAATTCAGGTAGTGCCTTAAACTTAGATAAAGATCACAACCACAAAGATGGAGTATTGAACAGAAGCACGTGCGTACACACATGCACATTACACATGCACACATGTGCAAATGTGCACACACATGTGCATACATGCAAATTTGCGGGCATGCATATACATATACATGTGTGCTCATACATGCATGTGTGTGCATGTGCACCTATTATATGTGAGTACACCCATGCACACATCTGCGTGCATGTATGTGCTTGCATGCAATGTGCACACACCCATATCCATACGCCAATAAACTTGCTGCATTTGGCAAGTATGTGGACTTGGGGCGTGGATGACAGTTTTGTGTGTGTGGGAGACATCTGGGTGAGGTTCAGCCCACACAGCTGTGGAGGAAGTTCAGCACAGGAAATTCTTGCTCCACACCATGCCCGCTTCCATCCTCCGCATCCCATCTGTTCCACGGGAAGGGGGCAGGGCCTGCCTGTGGCTGTGCCCATCCCCTTCACTTCAGGTCACCTGGGCGATGACAGCGGCCAGCCCAGGCATGGGTGCTGTGTGCATTCTGAGGTAAGATAGCAAGCTGGGTGGTTCCCAGAAACATAGCCTTGTAGTTCGGTTGAATTTCCAGTGGCACCCATGTAGCCTTGAGTTCTTTCCCCAGAGGCCTGCCTGGTAACGCCACTGGTTCTGTTGCAGGTCACGTGGGATGGGGACTGTGATCAAAACGGCGTTGGAGTGATCCTGTCTACTCACACAGTTCAGCACTACGATGAAGGTAAGGACCCTGCTGGGCTGAGAGGGGCTCAGAGCCTGGGACAGGGACAGGCAGAGGGGAAGGGCCAAGCCACTGGCGGGCTCATCTGGGAAGCTCTCTATTTGTTCCCTGACACCATAAACCACAGAAGCTGGTTGGCTCACAACACTGCAGCCACAGGCTCCGAATCCAGATGTGGCAGGGCTGGCTCCCCCTGAGGTGGGGAGGGAGGACCTGCTTTCTGTCCACACTTGGGAGTGGCCCTCTTCCCCCCCCCCCCCGGGAGGTCTGCGCCGGGTCCTCGTGCCCTACACACGCGCGCACACACACACACACACACACACACACATACACACACGCTAGGGTCCTCCTTAGGAGCTCACGTGATTATTCCCAAATAAAGCCCCACTCCCAGGAATTAGGACCTGGTTCAGCTTGTAACAGTGCCCATCTTGTCTGCCTGAAGAACAGGGGAGTCTGCGTGAGCTGAGAGGAAAGCCCCAGGAACACTTCAGAGAGTTTAGAGTCTAGCTTAGAGTCCTGGATCTCCAGGTGCTGGCCGTGTTACACGGTGGCCTCATGGGACATGTTGCTGACACTGACTGAGATCAGGGTGGACCCTGCCCCGCAGTGGAGCTTGTCCCCTTCTGCTGGGTATGGGGTTGGGGGGGCTCCTTGGGGGGCTATCCAACTGTAGACCCTGATGAAGAGTGGAGGAAGGTGAGATCTCCTGTGGCCGAGTGGCCCACGATGACACAGTTGGAGGGACAGGACAGGAAGGCAGGGACTGTACCCCCTCGGGGCCAGATGCAACCCCTCATCCTGGAAGGAGACTGCAATGCCCCCATTTAATCAGGTGTTAGCCACGGAGATGCCACAGCCCCCAGGGACTGGCCAATCCTCCATCCGGTAAGACCGGCGAATGACAGCCATGGCTCCCCTTTGTCACCTGAAAAAAAAGCAAAGCGAGAAAGCCCAAGGCAGTAGACGATTTCAGTCACCTCAGGAGAAACATTCTCAAGTTTACTTTGTCACGAAAGTCACTCCCTGAGGAGGGGCATGGCATGGATTTGCACCAAGCGGTGAGAGCACCATGCCCATGAGATGCCATGCACATTTTGTTGGTCGATAACAGAACGGTGCTTCCGGGAAACCATCCATGCTGCGGAGAAAGGTCGCCGGTCTCTGCGCCCTCACACAGACCTCCACCCTGAGCCAGGCTGGAAGAGGCAGGTGTGGGCCAGGAAGGACCGGGCAGCCAGCCACCACTGGCACACATCTGCAATGCTGGCTACCAGGAAGCTGTTATCTGAGGGTTGTGGTTCAAAGCCAGCCTGCGCAGGAAAGGCCGTGAGACTCTTATCTAACTTACCAACAAAAAAGAAGAAGAAAACAAAAGTAGAGCTGTGGCTCAAGAGATAGAGTGCTAGCCTTGAGGGAAAACAGCTATGGGACAGTGCCAAGACCTGGGTTCAAGCCCCACTATTGGCACCAAAAAGGGGGGGAGCAGGGGAGAAGTAAGGTCTCAGTAAGGAGGTGCCATTGTACTATCACAGGCATGCTGAGTGTCTGTGGGTGTGCTGTGCCGGTGTCCTGCTCCCCAAACCCAGAAGCAGCCATCGGTCCCGCAGTCAGCACCTCCGCAGACAGCTTCCACCCCAGGGAGCACACTGGCTCTCCCGGTGTCCAGTTCTGAGGCCCCAGGGCATGAGAGGCAGGGCCTGCAGGCAGGAGCAATGTCCCTTCTGCTAGGATGACATCGGCTTGTGACCACCGTGTCACCGTACCCGGCGGGAGCACACTCTGGACTTGAGATGAAGGGCCTTGTAGGGAGAGGCCATCTGGGATTACCAAGCGCGCCAGCACAACCCCCAGGATCCTTACAAGGAGTGAGGAGGGAGGGCACAGCAGGAAAAGAAGAGCTAATGGGAGCAGATGACAGAGAGATAGACAGACGGACGGACATATCTAAAGAGGCTCTGCCGCTGCCTTGAACTTGGAGGCAGAGGACCCACAAGCCAAGGAGTGCAGGTGACCTCTGGGTGCTGGAGAAGTTGAGGAAGAAGGGTTTTCCTCTAGAGCTTCTAAAAGCGGCCTGGTTTTCACTAGCGACTTTCAGAACTGAAAGACAAAATGTGCGTTTCTCTGAGACAGCAGTGCCCTTGATCGCGGGAGTCTGCCCAGCCTGGCTGCAGATCCCAGCACTGCCGTTCGCTCTCTGCGTCACCTCCGCAAGGAATCTGGTAGTCCAAGCTTCTGAGAGGGAGCTCAACGACAGCCCTTCTCAGCGTGAGCGAGGTGAGAGGGGTCAGGGCCAGCACCAGCCAGGGTCTGTCCCCCCTGCCCACCCTTGGTGGCTCTTCCTTGTGGAGCCTCTGGCCAGATTTTCCCCATCTGAGTACTTATGCCTAAACCTTCATTTTGTGCCTTAAATGCCCCATTTTTCTCTTGCTTTGATTGCCTGCTGGAGCATGAGCCGCATAAGCCTCTTGAGATAAAACAATTGCTCGGTCCTCTCGCTGAGGGATGGCAGAGGCTGACAGGATTGATCTGTAGACACATGGTTTCTCAGCAACCGAACAATGCCTCTGCTCACGTGGATGAGAAGTTTCTAAAATTGATATCTTCCTCTGGTATCTATTCGATGTTTCCTAAAAGGAGGAAATGCCTGGTTTGCTTTCTTAAGTAAATATGAACCAGGCACTGGTGGCTCAGGCCTATAATTTTACTCAGGAGGCTGAGACCTGAGGATCACAGTTCAAAGCCAGCCCAGGCAGGAACATCTGTGGGACTCTTACCTGAAAGTGAAGCTGTGGGCTCCAGAGCTAAGTACTAGCCTTGAGTACAAAAGCTCAAGGACAGAGACGAGACCCTGAGTTCAAGCCCAGGACTCGCACACCCAAAAAAAGTAAATATGTGTAAGTGGAGTTATTTTAGTCAAATTGAAAGTTGATACTTGATCAAAGCCCAACTACTGATGTGAAAGTAGCCGGTGTTGGTTGACACTTGAGCTCATGAACAATGCTAGAAATCAGCACTCCCTGACAGAGTGCAAAGGCTCGGAACACTGCTGCCCAGTTGCTCCACGTTTGACTGCAGGGCTATGTTCTTGATGTTTGTATTAGGGGTTTTTTTGTTGTTTTTGCAGGGGGAAGGGGCTTTGCTCTATTCCTCAGGCTAGCCTTGAACTCAGGTCCCTTCTTGCCCCAGCCTCCAGGAGTCTGTATTATAGATGTGCACCACAGCATCTGTTTACTCTTTAAACAAGAAACAAAACTGTTTCCAAAACTAGGAAAGAAGTCCCTGCGGGCCATGTTCACCTGCCTGCATTATTGTCGAGACCCAGAGATAAGAACCAGGCCCGTGAAGGGATGGGGGAGCCTTTCTCTCTGCCAAAGGCCATCTGGATTTGTGTGTGTGTGTGTGTGTGTGTGTGTGTGTGTGTGTGTGTGTGTGTGTGTGTGTGTGTGTGTGTGTGTGTGTGTGTGTGTGTTTGCCAGTCCTGGGGCTTAAATTTGGGTCTGGGTGCTGTCCCTGAGGTTTTGTGTTCTATCACTTGAACCACAGCTCCTCTCCTGGCTTTTTAGAGATAGAGAGTTAAGTTGAGCTAAAGAGTCTCATTGACTCTCCTGCCCAGGCTGACTTGGAATTGAGATCCTCATATCTCAGCATCCTGAGTAGCTGAGATTACAGGCATGAGTGCCCGGCTCCATCTGGATATTTTTAACATCATTTGGGGGTTGTACAAAGTTACCAGTACAGGCAGATGGCCGTGGGCAGTGGACAGGAAGCATAGAAGCGGACATGTCTCATGCATGTTGTACACATGATTTCTCAGGCCTCCTGTGCCCGACTAGGCCTTGCCACCCCTGCAAGGACTCGGGCCAGCTCCAGCCTCTGCAGCTCTCTGGGAGAGTCTAGTGCCATCAAGTGTGAGGACAGAGAGAACAGCGTGTGGCAGTCTTCACACAATGTCTTCACGCAGCTCCAGGTGTGACTTGCTGTAGGAATCCCAGGGCAGACGATGAGCTACTTCAATGACAGCCTGATTTTAGGATTATTTAAAAATCCTGGGGCTGGGAAAGTGGCTCAGTGGTAGAGTGCTTGCCTTGCATGCGTGAGGTCCTGGGTTCGATTCCTCAGCACCACATAAGCAGAAAAAGCCAGAAGTGGCACTGTGGCTCAAGTGATAGAGTGCTAGCCTTGAGCTGGAATGCTGAAGGACAGCGACCAGGCCCAGAGTTCAGGCCCCATGACTGACAAAAAAAAAAAAATCCTTCATATATGCCTGCCTGGCCTCTACATCTGTACACATTTGTATGTGCCAAGTTTGATAAGCCACATCTGGTTTGAGAGGCAGAGAAGGAAAAACATTACGAGAGATCAGTCACTTCTGGTAGCCCTCATAGGCTACATGCATATTCATATCCAATTGAGGAATACAAACCCAAGAGAAAATCAGGTATCAGATGTGTCTTTGAGGGGTAATATGTGCTCCTATTGGAGCAACTGCTAGTTTTACACCTGAATTAACGTGGTGATCACCAGGATTTTGGAGGCATGAGTGAAGAGGAGGGCATGTCACAGTTTTACCCCACAATGACTGATGACCACAGCTGCCTTTAGTTTAGGAGGTGTTCTCTGGACAGCACAGGGTTAGCTCTTACCTTCTGTTCACATTCCTTCGGCACCCAGTGTTTTCATTGCTAAGTGTCCAGACCCAGCTGGTAATCAGAATTCCTCCCCGATGCCCCTAAAACCACTCTTTCATTCAGGATAGAATTTCTTGGCCAAACCATCCTGGCTTTTTTTTTTTTTTTTTGGTATTGAAATGACAACCATGAAATGTGACCGTTCAGTGAAATGTTCAAATCTAGCCTCTCCCTCCAAGTCTGACTCCCAGACTTTAAAAACAACAAATTCATCTGCACAACACAGAAAGCCACAGCTGTTTGAAGTGTCACTTGACTCCGGTCATGGGTCCTCCTGGCAAGCTTTGGGTGGCCTCCTTGGTTTTCCCAAGGGCTCTTCCCAACCCTTTGATAGTCAAAGAAAACTCTCTTTTGAAGAACTTCTTCCCTTCATCTTCCACGAACTGTCGTAGCATCGTCAGATCTTGATCTTACAATGGCCCTGATCTGAGATGCTCATAAGCATGAATCCACATGATTCTCCAAAGTCCTGTCATTCTGGCAAGGTGCACGATTTTTCTTTGCAATGGGAGTCATCCTTTATCCTGCAGGCCAGGATACCAACACACAAGCCAGTTACATAGGAAGTAGGGCTGTGAGGAACATTTTCCTAAATGGATGTGCTGTTTGCAGATAAGATCATGATGAGCCATTTCTGCTTCCCTCTTAGCCTTCAGAAGTGGGAGGATTCAGATAATAAGATCTTAGCCGGAAACGACCACAGGATGGCTGTGTCTGCCATCTTTGCTAAGTGCTTGCAAGGCTCTGCCCTGGGATCTCTGCCAGTGGCCTTCCCTCATCCATGAGGGTCAAACCCCAAACACCTAAGGGCTACCAGAAATTGTAGACAGCAAAAAGCCTCTCTGTACTAGGCTGGCTCCTGTGCAGGCATACTTAGGATAACGTTCAATTGATAAAATTACGCACAGTGAGAAATCAATAGCCAATACACTACACTATTTAAAAAAAAATTATGTCACCAGACGCTGGTGGCTCATGCCTGTAATCCTAGCAAATCAGGAGGCTGAGATCTGAGGATTGTGGGTCAAAGCCAGTCTGGGCAGGAAAGGCCGTGAGACTCTTATCTTCAATAAGCCACCAGAAAACCAGAAGTGGCGCTGTGGCTCAAGTGGTAGAGCACTAGCCTTGAGCTGAAGAGCTGAGGACAGTGCCCAGGCCCAGAATTCAAGCCCCATGACCGACAAAAAAAATTTTAATTATGTCACTGCAGTCTGTGTGTGTGTATATATGTGTACATATGCACATACATGTGCACATGTGTGTACTGGTTGGTACTAGGGCTTGAATTCAGGGCTTCACATGCTAGCTTGATTATCTTCTTTTTTTCTTTCTGATTTTGTTTTCTTTTTTCTTTTTGTGCTTGTCCTAGGGCTTGAACTCAGGGCCAGGGACTGTCCCTGAGCTTTTACACTTAAGGCTAGCATTCTACCACTGGAGCCACAGCTTCACTTTCAGCCTTTTGGTGGATTTTTTAGAGATTAAAAAAAAAAAAATCTCATGGACTTTTCTCTTTGGGCTGATTTCCAACCTCGATCTCAGATCTTAGCCTCCTGAGTAGCTAAGATTACAGTGTGAATGCCAATACCCAGCTAACCATCATCATCTTTGTAAGAGTCTGTCAGACAGAACTGCAAAGCTTCCTCACACAGATTGGAGGGGTCTGCTCTCCTCACATAGTGCGCTTTGCAGGCCTGGGTGTGCATTTGTTTTAGCACTCAGTTGATCTGCTTTGACTACGGTGTCAGGTGGCTACGGTCTCTCTTTCCATGTGGATGTTTCTACTGATAAGACAAAATGTTGGTAAATGAGTCTCATTTCCACACAGCCCTTTTCCTGTATTTATCTCTCTGCTCTTTTCCCTCCTTCCTAAATACTCGTTAGACTGGGTAGAAGAATCTAGAGGCATTCCCTGGGGGAGTTCATACCTACTGACTCCACTAGAGAGACAGGTACTGACCAGTTCTCTGAGACTCTCTCCAGGTCACTCCCTAAACATCTGCTCCATTTAAACCAGCATAAGGAGAGGATGGGTAATTACTGTTTGGTGTCATGTTTGAGCTCACCTTCAGGCTGGATCCAGAAGTTCAAATGACACATTAGGTTCCTACTTCCTGGATCTCCAGACACTGCTCTTGTCTGTGTTTGGACCTCTGTGTTAGCCACCACCCAGTGGGGCCGCCAGGGTTATGAAAACATCACCTTTATAATTATGATTTTAAACATTCTAAATAAAACCAATCCAGACAGAAATGGTAACCCCTCTGTACAACACCTTAATAATAACAATAAAATTATAGTGTTTAAAAAAAAAACACACAAACAGATTTGGCTTGTGAATCCAAGCACAAGTAAGTGAGGCAATAATAAGTTTAGCAAAAGTCCCAGGAGTGGCCCTGATGAGCAACCCCAAGACGATTTATCTGCCAGGCTAATGCTCTCACACTGAAGCACCGAAGCTGTGGTTGCTCTCTTAGCCCTCCCGTTGTGATTTCAGGTTTAGGACAGGGTCTGTTCTCAGGGTCTGGCAGCCAAGTGGTTTTGGGGGACCATGTCTCCCCCCCTCACCACCTCTCCCAAGAAGATCAGAACCGGGAAGCTGTCGCCCTGGCTTGTGCGCTGGGCGCAGCGCGCCCTGGGGTCCGCTGTGGCCCTGGGGTTCCCCGGCCTGGTGACTGGCCTCTGTCTGTGCTTGTGTTGCAGTGGACTTGGGCATCGGCATTCGGGAGGACAAAGCGGCTGCCTCTCCCCGCGAGGCCCAGGAGGTGGACGCTGTGGCCGGGGCCGGCGGAAAGAATCTCGGGCAGGCGGCCAAGCCCCAGGCACCAGCTGCTAAATCGCGTTTTTTCTTGATGCTCTCCCGGCCGGTACCAGGGCGTCCCGGGGACCAAGGCTGGGATTCATCGGCTGCAGCCGCCGGGCTGGATGTCAGCGCAGGCCCGGCCCCCGCGGACAAAGGCCCGAGTGAGCACATGGCACTTCCGGGGCCAGCTGTGCCCGGGCTCGGGGCAGATAAAACCCCAGGGCGGCCCCCGGCCGGGGACCAGGCCGCCCCTGCCACCTGCTCGCCGGCGCCACGCCCGCCCCAGCCTGAGGCCGGGGCCCCCGCCAAGCCCCTGGACGCCAGCATCTTCCACAAGTTCTTCACACTGGACAAGGGAGGGGACACGGCGCCAGGCGGCCACCAAGGACCAGCCAAGAGGGCAGAGCGCAGGGAGCAGGCCGGGGAGACGGCCCGGCCACCAGGGCCCGCGGACAGCCGCCCTGCCACCGAGGTGAGTGTCCGTCCATCCCCAGCGCGCTGCGCCCTGGATGTATGTCCAACTGCAGCGGATGCGCCCTGGGTGTCTGTCCATCCCCAGTGGCTGCACCCAGTGCCCCCATAGGCGTACAAGCACCTTAGCTATCAAGCAGACTGTCCCTCTAGAACAAATAGCAGGAGCAGCTCAGCCTCTCCTCCAGGTCCCCCGGGGCAGAAACATCTCCAAGAAGAACAGAAACAGCTGCTGTTTCTATTGCATGTAAAAGAGGAGAGAGGTTCCACGCAGAGGAAATCTGTTCTCCCACCTAATCAGAGGCTGAGCCCTGTGCAGGCTGCATCCGTAGGATCAGTGGGGTCTGGACAGAAAGTGGAGCACCGGGCTGGGCATGTGGCTTAGTGGAAGAGTGCTTGCCTAGCATGCCTGAAGCCCTGGGTTTGAATCCTCAGTACCACATACACACAGAAAAAGCCAGAAGTGGCTCTGTGGCTCAAGTGGTAGAGCACTAGCCTTGAACACAGAGAGGCTCAGGGACATTGCACAGTTCAAGCCCCAGGACTGGCAAAAAAAAAAAAAAAGAAGAAGAAGAAGAAGAAGGAGAAGGAGAAAGTGGGACACAAAAGTTATTCCTTAAAAAGGCCCTCCCTGCCCATCTCAGATCTCTTGCATAGAGAATGGGTATAGGCTTGGCTGGACAGGTTTCCATGATGGTGGGATTTCTGCTCTCTTTTGCACTGAGATAGGAGGGGGAAGAGACAGACCTGCATGGAATGGTTTGCATACAAATCAATGTCCAACAAGTTAGAACAAGACTTGTGTAAAAAGTAGTTTTTTTAAAGGGAGATATCTTGAATCCATTGTTTTGTTTCCTGGGCAAAGAAAGGCAGCTATTGTTATTATTATTATTACTACTACTACTATTTGTTACTGTTACAGTGAGAAGCATTAACCATGAGAGCTTGTGTTCTACGCAGGAAAAGAACTCCTGGAATATAGAGGAAATAAAAGTTGCATTTGAAGTCAATGTTCCCTTGTTTTAGAAGACTTAGAAATAACACTATTTATTAAGTTGTAAGAATAAAGTTAAATGCTCCTGATTTAGGAGGCAAAGGATCGGATGGGCTGTGCTCCTTAGGGTATGGTTGTGTCTCCAAACTGGCACCCGATACCTTTGTCTTAATAATAATGTCATGAGACATTAACAGGGTGCTAATAACTCTTTCATCCAGCACTTGCAAGGCCAGGCTATTCTTAGCTTATTTTTCCTAAGGAAAATGAACGTTGGTCAGCCTGTGCTTTAAATGCTTCCAGGCTGACAACAAGAATTACATTGTAACAGCCACACATCAGCTCAACATAGCAGACAGCTGAACTTGGGAGAAACTGAGGCTCCATGGCCAGGCACTTACAACCTATTTCTATCACTCTCCAAGAGCTGATGCCCAAGACTCCATTTAGAAATTTAACTTCCTCCCTTCTAATGTCTCTTTTCCAAACTGCACCAGTTCCAGAAGCTGATTGCATTATTGCTGGTGCGATTCAAACTGTAAGACTTGAAACTCATCCAGGCACCTGCCCTTTAGCAAATGTGAAACAGTGCCAGGCACACGTGGGCCCACGGTGCTGCATGGCGCTGTCTGTGCCCTTGTGGGACTTGATGTCCAGTGGGAGATGACAAATGAATAAACTTGGGATGGCCACGCAGAGCGCTCTTCTGAGGGCACAAGCCCAGGCGAATTGGCTGCAGTGCCCCGAGGAGCAACCCATAGGCCAGGACCCCAAAAGCTACTCCCCTGGGGGCTATAAACTAGTTTTCAGTCTGCAGAAGTATCTGGAATTCCTTGAAAAAGTCCTATTGAATTTTCATTACTGATGGGCCTCTGAAGACATTTGGATGTGGTGATTTTGATTTCTTAATAAATATTTGTTTCTTTGCTAGACCAAAGCCAATTCTTTCCTAGTGAAGAAAAGATTGAACTGTTTATGAGATGAGTTGAATATCTGCTACTGTTTCCTCCGCCGCCGCCTCCTCCCTCCTCTTCTTCCTCCTCCTTTTTCTCCTTCTCCTTCTACTTCTCCTGCTCCTTCTTCTTCATACCTGTCCTGGGACTTGAACTCAGGGCCTGGGTACTATCCCTGAGCTTTACAGACAAGGCTGGCATTCTACCACTTGAGCCACAGCTAAACTTCCAGCTTTTTGGTAGTTCATTGGAGATAAAAGTCTCACAGACTTTCCTTCTCGGATTGGCTTCAAATTGCAATCTTCAAATCTCAGCTGCTCCCAAGTAGCTAGGGTGACAGGCATGAGCCACCAGTGCCAGGCTGCCCTGACCATGCCAGGTTTATTTGTGACACTGCAAATTTCCATTTTGACTATGAACGTCCCCTCTGCATTAGGTGTGTGTAAGACATTTATTTATGTAAGTGATGACTTTGCCATTTCTCTTGCAGCCTGGGAACATGTGAGTATTCAAATACGTAAGTGTGCAAGGAGTGTTAAGGGAGAAAAGTTAAGTTTCAGATTTGTGAAAGTTTCTCTTCAGACCCCCTAGATACATCTGTGATTGGAAGACACGCATTGTCCTCTGGGATCTTGGGGGAATGTGGGCCTCAGAAGGGAATGTCAATGGAGTTTTCTAATCAATGGCTTTCTTGGAGGGAAGACCTCAGCATGCATAGACGGGTGTCAATGTATCGATTCAGAATTCTTAGAGTAAATTATGCCAGGGCTGTTCCATGTCAGCTGTCCCTCCCCTTGTTTCCCACTCCCCCCCCAACACACACACAGCCCTTCCCCCACATCACTAGACCCTCCTCCTGGCTGGATTGGAATTTCAACCACAAAGCCACAGAACTGTGAATGTGAAGACAGAGAGCGAACCTCTACTTCATTCTGGGGAAACATAACAAACGACCACAGTCTTATTTTTGTGCCTTAGAAAACTACATTCAGAGCATGGCATACTTAAAACAAGGCAAGAATTCATGAACAAATGGAGCATTTACCCCCTAGGCCAAAGAAAAGATAAATTATGTGCCTGAAAGATTTCACTGAGCTGTGATTGACCCAATCCAACAGGCTGGCAGGGATGGCGTTTTTTCCCCTCTCCCTCCCCAGCGCTCTAAGATAAGCATTGAAAAGATTCATCACACGTGCACAAAATAATCGCATAATGGAAATTTGACCTTTTGGTTAAAAATAAATAAATAAAAGCCCACACTAAGTTTCTGTTATCCACCTAGACCTTCTAGAAGCAAATTTGGGATGGGGAGTGGGGGATGCAGGGTACACCTAAAATTTAAAGGAAGTATTTCTTTTCTGTTAAAAATTCAGTCAAGTAATACAGTTGTTACTTAAACACCAGCCTTGTGCAAGCCCTGAAAGATGTCCCTGGCCCATTCGAGTAGTCTAGCTTCTGGTAAGAGACAGGCTTTCTTTGTATGCATGAGTGTGTGTGTGTGCACGCGTGCACACGCGCACGTGCGCACATACACACATGTGTGTACCATGACTGGGGATTGAACTCCATGCCTCACACGCTTGCTTGGCTGTTTCGCTCAAGGCTGGTCCTCTACCACACCTTGTCCCACACCTCCAAGTCCGAGACAGGCTTTCTTAAAGGAAGTTGTGACTGTGCATGGTGCTCTGGTTCTTGAACAATGCAGAAGTTTTCATTTCCTCCTCTCTTCTTTGCCCTGAACATGCATGATTCAGGCTTTGGTCAAAGTGGGTGTGATGTTTTGCCTTCTACAACTCAGCCCGGCTGCCGAATTCCCTGTGGATCCATCTCAATTTGGTCTGCCAGAAACTTCCTTCTCTAAACTCCTCCTCGCCTGGCTCCCCCAGCCCTTGCCTTCCTGGCCACTCTGCCTTGATTTCCCTGGCTGATTTGTGCAAACATTGGTGAGAGAAGGTGTCTGTTGGAATGCCTGGGACACGGCACCTCCTGCACGTGTCTGTCCTGGGACCTCTCCCAGCATTACTTCCTCCAGGCCTTGCCAGCAGCCAATCCATTTTTCCATACATGACTTTAGTGAAGACTGCTACCCTAACCAAAAGCAAGATAGGAGTGTCTCACCGCTAATGCATTGCCCATCTTCTACAAGCCTTGGAAATCAAGTGCAGAGATTCATCTGCTCTGGGGGTAGAGGAAGTGTTGAGATTGAAGACTTCTTCTTGATTTATAAGAAGCAACTCCTGATTGCTCCATCTGATAGATTTCTTCCTATCCCCCATCTGTGGCTGCATGAATAACTATTTTATTTAATCTCACTAATACAGCATCTCTGTTAGTGAGTTGTTGAGGACCCATGTGTGAATATCCTGCGTTAGACTTAGTCCAAGATGAGTTTTGCAAACTGTGAGGTTGGGGGTCTATAAAGTAGTGAAGATAGGCAATGCTATGATTGACAATAAGAGCCTCATACTGGGACGGGGCCAAAGAGGGCCAATTAGCTGTCGATCAGTGCTTGCCCACCAAGTGTGCCTAGAACTGCATAAATAGGAAAATAAATCCATGTGTCCTCGTGCTAGGTGCCTCCATCTATCTTAGTTTAATTAGATAAGCAGCTGAATTGTCTCTCTCTTTTCCACCATGGTATGGGAAATGGCTCAGTGGAAATGTTTACATCTTGTTTGACTCAGCTTATATTTCCCCCTTAGCACATATTTTATTCCTCTCTAAAGTCTCTGATAATTTCTCACTTTATTACTTGGATCACTAAAAAGCTTGGTTCCACCACAATACGGAATTAAAATGTTTACAGCATGCATGCTTTTTGGAATGTGCCCTTCTCTATTTTTAAGAGTTAGTTGAGAAGTGGAGCAAAATTTTATCTGTGAGAACTTTTTAGTTGTTGTGATGTTCAAGCTGCTGCCCAAAGGCAGCGAGTCAGTTCAGAGTGCAGTGCGTCTTGGTCGGTGTCACTACCTCGCATGCCTCTCAGCCAGCCCTCCCTCAGTAGCCCTAGCTTCACAGGATATGCATTCTCCCCATCCCTTCCTCTCTTACTTC